CCCGCCCATTCCAGTTCTCGCCAGAAGAGACGAAGATGGAGCCAAGACGGGGTGGCAGTATTCCCCAAATGCTTAGAGATCCCCCACAGGTGCGTTTTGTACTTTTATGCTGCGCTCTATTCCTCGTCCATCCCATCGCGCGTGTAATGACCAGTTGCCAGCAGTAGCCAGTTGCCAGCAGCGACGTCGATGCGTCTTCCCCCCCCGCCCCTGTGGCCCGTGGACCGGCGCTGCGATTGTTGGAGTCGTTTTCTACATGTTCTTGCGTCACAATACCGTTCACCATCGGCGCTGGCACAGCTTTGAGCTGGACGCCAAGGAACTTTTCAGATTACAGGATGCTGCCGACAAGTCAGACGTCAGTTCTGCCGACGAGCACCTCGTGAATCTCGCAGACCGTAGGCGAACAACCGCAGCTTGGACCGAGCTCGAGCTCGAGCGCGCTCCTACAGGTGGCCTGGGGACGTCGTCGGACGACGAGCCTGCGGTCTCGCGGCATGCCTACATCAAGGTTCTGGGGCCGGACGAGCTAGAGCCGGAGCACGAGCACGTGAGCAGCCATTTCTTCATCGAAGAAGACGAGCTGGTAGACACCATGGGAGTGAGTGGCCTGTGTCTTCTGTCGCACAGCCAAAGCCTCTACGAGAAGTGCACCGTGGTGTCGGTTGCGCTGCAGGCTTTTTTGATGCAGTTCGTGATCTTCTATTTCATGTCGAAGTACATCGTCAGAGCGGAACAGCCGAGCGCTTGGGACAGAGCAGGGCCCGTGAAGCCGAGGATTCTCATGATCGCTATATATGTGCATATCATGAATGTCTTGAGAGATGTTCCATTCGGCTTGTCTGTCCTGGTTACTTTCCCTTGGTTGCAGCATGGCTGGAAGAACGTTGCTTTCACCGCGCCAATCTATATGATAGATACTGTCATCGTCCCCTCCATCACAGCGGTGCTGGGGTCACTATTCTTGTGTACATCAAAAACGTCCGCAGAAGTAGTGCTCAATTCGTGCGCCGTGTATTTTGTCAACGGCATTGATAACGCGCTTCTGAAGCTTAGCTGTGATTTCAAGGAGTTGTCTAGGTTCCGATCAAGGCAGGTGGTGTTCGTACCTTATCAGCCGAAGATGGTCAAGTGTCTTGATTACAGTATTGTCGTGTTTCCCATTTTCCCAATGTTGTGGGCATTCTCGATGGAATGGATCGGACTTGATATTTTGGAGCTCTACAAGTCAGGAGAGGGCGTATGAACATAAGTTGGTGCATGGCAGCGCACGGATCATTCCCCTAGTCCGTTGTTAGAGTAGCTCCAGGGTTTTTTGATGACTAGGGCTCGATCGGAAGCCATGCATGACAGATTCTGGGCCTCTCCGTATCGAATATTGTAGGATATGTGGACTCATGCGCCGTATCCCAGAGTTCGCAAGTATGGATTATTAGTTACGTTGATGTTTCATTCCGGCGCCCAACCCTCCAAGGGAGATCGCGGGTAAGGATTAAGTTTGGGCACGACGGCAAAAGGTACTGCAGTCCTTGTCTGTCATTCCCATCGCATGCGATTTAGCCAATGGTGCCTGGTTAGGCTATTTCTGTCATGTTGAGATCATACAATAAAACAAGTCCTCGTCCATCCCATCGCCGATTAAGCTTAGGCATGCCGCGTGACCGATCGATGGTAGATTCGACGATCGGTCGTCGGGCCATCATCATGGCCAACGGATCCGTGATATGGACGCTGGCTCTCTTGACCCTTGCTCCCCTGAGATCCATCGCTCCAAGAAATTGGAGCACGCGGTTTTCCGCAGTTTTCGGCCTCCGGGGGCCCTCGCCGGGCCTCGGGAGCGTCAAACAACAGCTCAGGACGAGAAACCGGTCCCGGGGAAGTGGTCCGGACCTCTGGTCGGGAGCCTTGAGACGGGGGTCAATGCAGACGGGGGTCAGCCAGGGCGCCAGATCCTGCAGCATCCTGCGAAGACCCCCTCTGGCTGACCCGGGTTTGGGAGCCGCTCGTGGCCGCGAGGCGGCCGCACATATTGGCTGACCCAGGTTTGCGAAGACCTGCGTTGCAGTTTTTTTTTCCTGCATTGCAGTTTTCGGTTTCCTGCTGACCCGGGTCTGGACTGACCCGGGTCAGAAGATCCCCGATCAGGCATTCCACTCGCGTGGCTAGGCTAGGGGGGCAGTCGTGCGACGCGGTGTGGGCCCCGAAGAGAGAGGCGGGGCCAGGTGGGAAGCTGTGTGATCGAAGCCACCCCCACAGGCGCGCAGAGGACGTGCGAAGCTGCCCCAACCCCAGGCTTAAGTCGGGCCTGTCCCCCTGCAGGGGGAGTTTCGACGATCCCCGATCTGGGGTCCACGCGCCAAACAAGTTGGAGCAGCCGGATGTCTGGCTCCCTATCTGCAGCGCACGCCGAAGACCTGCCCAAGACGGCCCCCGGAGGACTCCCCAGAGTCGCCCGGAGGGGCCGGGGGGAGGGCCCCAAGAAGAAGGGCCCGAAGTGTGCCTTGCAGTGGGGGCCCACGCCAAGAAACACCCTGCTTGCCTCCAGGGTGCCCTGGGTTTCTTGGGTTTCGATGGTTCTGCGACGGAAGGCATGACGTTCCCGCACCAAGAAATCGATGGACGTCCTGGGGTCTCAGAGTTCCCAGACCCCCGACGTCGTGAATTTTTCACAGCGTCGACCCCCAGAAGTCTGGACCCTTTCCCTGGGACCGGTTTTTCATCCTGAGTCGTTTTTTGACGGTCCCGAGGCCCGGGAAGGGCCCCCGGAGGCCGAAAATTGCGAAGAACCTCCCGTCGGGATTTTTGCACAACGTGAGGAGGTTTGGGTCGGCTTTCTCGTGGAAGGTTTCCCGTGGACTGGCATCCGCTGTACAGGCGCCCGAGGCCCGCCCCGGCGGGCCTCTGGACGGCTCAGGCGCGAGCATCCACACTGGGCTCGAGCTCCGCTGGCACCTGCGCCGACACACACCGGGCCCGGATCTGGGCCGGTTTGGGCTCCGTCTTGGGAATCCCAAGGTGGGCCCAGAGGAGGAGGAGGAGGAGGAGGAGGAGGAGGAGGAGGAGGAGGAGGAGAGGAGGGGAGGAGGGAGGAGAGAAGGAGGAGGCGGAGGAGGAGGAGGAGGAGGAGGAGGGGAGGAGGGAGGAGGAGGAGGAGGAGGAGGAGTGAGGGGAGGAGGAGGAAGGAGGAGGAGGAGGAGGAGGAGGAGGGGGGTCGTCTTGGGAATTCCAAGGTGTGGCCCGAGTTCACTGCTCCCAGACCCCTAGCGCTGTGAAAACAAATCCGACGGGAGGTTTTCTCGCTGTTTCTCGCCCGAGGGCCCTTTTTTTTTTTTTTTTTATTTTTTTTTTTTTTTTTTTTTTTTTTTTTATTTTTGTTTTTTTTTTTTTTTTTTTTTTCCCGGGCCTCGGGACCGTCGTCAAAGAAGGACTCAGGATGAAAAACCGGTCCCGGGGAAGGGCTCCAGACCGCTGGGGGTCGACGTTGTGAAAAAATCACGACGTCGGGGGTCTGGGCTTACCAACTCCACCCCAACTCCACCCGAAAGGCCTCAATCTGCTCTTGATTTCCAGTGTGGGGGGGTCGGGGACCACTGAGAAAGCACACATGGAATCCGTACCCCCCCAAACCCTTCAGGTTGGGTTGGGGAGGTCTACCAGGTAGTCAAAAATCGTCAAAGATCCGTGCCGGAGCGGATCCGTGCCAGTTTGGCTCCGTTTTGGGATCCAAGTTGGGCCCCAAATCGTCAAACATTGATTTTGGAGCGGATTTGTGCCGGTTTTGGCTCCGTTTTGGGATCCAAGTTGGGCCCCAAAATCGTCAAACATTGATCCCGGAGCACGCCCAACATCGGCGACGACGTTCACATGTGGTAAGATTGCCAAGGCGAGCCCGATGGTCAGCTGTAAGAGGCGTCTCTGGGCGACCACGCGCCGAGGCAAGTGTCAGCACAAGCCACTGTTACTATTTTCTAATAGTAGTTTTAAGTCGGGCGTGTCCCCCTACAGGGGGATTTTCGCCACAAATAAATACCCAAAAAATACCCCAAGAAGGTCAACACATAGGCAAAAGACAGGCCCCGCACTATTGGAAAAACATATTTTGTTTATTATTTTGGGGGTATTCTTATTTCTCGTCGAACATCCCCCTGTAGGGGGACACGCCCGACTTAGTAGCAGTTTCGTCTTTGCCAGTTTGCGCGCGCAGTTTGGCCCCAGAGGCGCCCTGGAGCGCCCCAGGGGCTGACCCTGGAGGCCAAGAAGCGGCTCCGAAGGGGCCGGAGTGGAGCCAGAATGCGCCTCGAAAGCGTCACCAGACCCTGGGATCCGACGCTCCCAAAAAATTGGAGCAGGCAGATTTTGGCAGTTTTCGGCCCCTGGGGGCCCTCGCCGGGCCTCGGGAGCGTCAAAAAAGGACTCAGGACGAAAAGCCGGTCCTGGGGAAGTGGTCCGGACCTCCTGGGTCCACGCACCAAAAAAATTGGAGCAGCCGGATGTCTGGGGAAGGATCTGAAAATCGAATTCGTTTGGAAGCCGTCTTGAGGCTCGAAAAGGGTCGATGGCGCAGCTGGGCGGCGGAGTGGCGGAGGCCTCTGGGGGGGAGGGGAGAGGGTGGGGGCTAGAGCCCTGTAGGCAGCTTTCACACGGTTAAATCTCACACGCCCCTCAGCCCGGTGGGCGGGCGGACTGAAGTAGCTTACGCCATTCCGACGACCCCCAGAAGGAGTCCGAGTTTGCGACGATCGTGAAAGTTATCGAAGACGCCTACGGCGAATCACCGCCGCCCCCTGCCGGAAGGGGAGTGCATATGTGGGCGAAAGTTAGGTTAGAGCTCTCGGAATCGGACCATGTGTTCCCCCAGCCGTCGTTGAAACCTTTCGGGGAACATGTGAGGAAGAGGATCATCAGGAGAAAAAGGAAGGAGGAGTAGAAGGAGGATGAATAGATGAGGAGGAGAAGAGGACGCCTCTTGGGAGCCACGTTGGGCTCTCTTGGGGTCTCCTGGTAGCTTGCCGGGGGCCTCTTGGAGGCCTCTTCGGGGCCTCCTTGGGCCTCTTGGTGGCTTTTGGGGGCTTGTTCGGGGCTTGTTTTGCCGTCTTAGGGCGTTCCTGGCCCGTCTGCCGCCGTCGGAAGCCGTCTTGGGGGCCTCTCTGAACCGACTTGGGGCCTTCTTGGGGCGTCCTGAGCCATCTTCGGCGTCTTGGAGGCTTCCTGGGCCGTCTTGGGGCTCTCTTGGGGCCGTCTTGGGGGCCTCTTGGGCCCTTCTGAAGCCATCTTGGAGGCCTCTTGGGCGATCTTGGGGGCCTCTCGGGCCGTCTCGGGCCGTCGGAAGGCGAAAAGAAGCCAGCGCCAAAATCCTGCAAATTAGCCACGCGAAGGACTCAACCATATGCAGTTGTGAATACCAGAGTTGTCAGTATTATCTTCGGTGGAGATCCCTGTAGGGGCGCGAAACGTGCGAGGGGTGTGCCGACATGTCGGGGGATGCATGTGGATACCACCTTTGGGGCCTTGGGTGGAGCTCCCTATGGATCCACCAAACGAGTGAGGGGCTTGTCAGTATAATCTTCGGTGGAGCTCCTTGTAAGGCCACGAAACGTGTAAGGCGTGCGCTGACATGGGTGGCGCGCGGACGCATGTGAACGGTGCCACTGGGGTCTTGAGCGAAGCTCCTTGTGGGACCACGAAACGTGTGAGGGGTGTGCCGACAATGCGTGGCGCGGACGCGTGCGAACGGTGCCACTGGGGCCTTCCGTGGAGCTCCTTGTGGGGCAACGAAGCGTGTGAGGGGTGTGCCGAAAACTCTGGCGCGGACGCATCTGAACGGTGCCACTGGGGCTTTGGGTGAAGCTTTTTTGGGGGGGGCACGAAACCCAGACCCCCGACGTCGTGATTTTTTCAAGGTCCGGACCCCTTCCCCGGGACCGGTTCTTCGTGAGGGCCCCCAGAGGCCGAAAATAGCGAAAAACCTCCCGTCGTGATTTTTTCACGACGCCAGGAGGTCTGGGGACGCGTGAGGCGTGCGCCGGAATCGGTGACGCGGACGCACGCGAACGGTGCCACTGGGGCCTTCGGTGGCTTGGCATCGCTCGGACGCGTGCATTTTCTTTCGGCGAGGGCCATCGAGGAGCATCCTCGATCATTGGGCGAAAAAACCACGCACGAAACCTAAAAAAACACAGGGAATGGACGTCCGAGCGACGGCCTTCGGAGGAGCTCCTTGCAGGGCCACGCATCGTGTGAGGGGTGAGCCGAGCCCGACACGCGGAGGGCGGTGGCAGTCCGGCATCGTTTCACCGATCCCAATCCCCACCTCCATCTCCTCGTCCTCCTCCCTCCTCCTCCTCGTCCTCCTCCTCCTCGTCCTCCTCCTCCTCCTCCTCCTCCTCCTCGTCCTCGTCCTCCTCCCTCTACTCCTCCTCCTCCTCCTCGCCCCCTCCCTCCTCCTCACCTCCTCCTCCTCTCGCCCTCGCCACTCCTCCCTCCTCCTCCTCCTCCTCCTCCTCCTCCTCCTTCTCCTCCTCCTCCTCCTCCTACGGGAAGTCTAGGCCTCCAGTATCGTTTAACCGATCCCCATCCCCATCTCCATCCCCTTCGAGACCCACACAAAGTTGCCCTCCAGTTGGGGATAGACCCCTCGAAGCCCGAAGAGAACGGCCTGTACCC